TCCATGGTTAGAGGAGCAGGAGCTGTCATCTCATGTCTATGAGTAAAGGATCAGGGGCTGTCATTATCTCATATTCATGGGTAGTGGATCAGGAGCTGTCATTTCATATCCGTATGTGGATCAGGGGCTGTGATTATCTCATGTCCATGAGTAGACATATTTTATTGTATCACAACAACTCAAAAGTGGGAATTTCCATCACCTGGATGAAATAACGGACGTCACCAAACCACCAAGCTTTGCACCAACTTATTTAAGAATGAAATTGCTTGTCTTATTCCTCATTTAGGTAATCATGTCAATTAAATATTGACAAACTGACCCACATCACTTCCCTTGTTATGACAGCAATATGCACTTCTTAAAATGGAATTTCTTCCTAACACTAACTATTCTTAATAATGTCCCGTCCCTCTTATTGTAACTTTTCCTGTCTGTAAAAAAGATCTACGCACTTGCCTTCTTTCAGTCCACTCTAGTTCAGTCATGTGATCCTGTAGCTCTGGCTGCCCTGTGTCAGTGAGTGTAGCTGCAGGGAAGAAGAAGAAGCGCTAACAATGGCTGAGAATTCCATGAGCGGTGACATCACCCATAGGCTCCCATAAACCAGCTGTTGTCAGTGCTCCCTCCTCTCCTCTGCAGCCACCGCTCACTGATAAAGGGGAGCCAGAGCTGCAGGATCACATGACAGACAGTGTTAAATCTTTTGACTAAAATTCCATTTTAGTTTTAGTCATATTTTACTCATTTGAATTGTTTTAGCTTTAGTTGTACTAAAATGTCCAGTATATTTTAGTTAGTTAAAATCTAATGGATTTGGTTAAATAGTAATGCATTATTTAAAGCGGAGTTCCAGTTGAATTAAAAAAAAAAAAAAGTCAACAGCTACAAAAACTTTTAAAATACAGATGCTTACCTGTCCCTCGGTCCAGCGGTGTCCTCACCACTGCTGGTTTCACCGGCTGTCTTCTCTCCCTAGCGCCGGCATCTTCAGTGTGGGCACTCGGCTGTGACAGCTTGTGGCTTCACAGCCGGGTACCCACTGTGCATGTGTGAGTAGTGCTGTGCTTTGTGAATGGTCCCATAGTCTTTTGGGACCTGTCACGTGTCCCAGAAGACTAAGGGGAGAGAGGGAGGAGGACACTTCCGCTTCCGATCGCCTAAGGCGATCGCACCGAAAGTGGGAGCGGGTACCTGTCAAATTCGGGTACCTGCTCCCTCACCGCTCCCAAAAGGTACCAGTCTTTGACAGGGAGTGGGGGTGTTAATATGCAAGTTCTTAGTTGAGTTTGCATTGTGTTTAACGTGTATTAAAGGCGAGTTAAAAATGTTCTCCAAATGCCCTATGCACATTTGACACGTGTTTGATGAAAGTTAAAACCGCACCCCAAATGCCTAGGTTTTTTCTTGGCTGCTGTGAACAAGGCCTAACTCCCTGCAAATTCTCTGCAAACACATGCGAGGGAGTTTATGATGCGTTACCATGGGTTTGAGTCAGGGGCAGACTGACCATTTGGAAACTCGGGCACTGCCTGAGGGCCCGGGGTCAGTAGGGGGCCCCATGAGATGCCCCTGGTACCTTTTTCATAGGCTTTTTTGAGTTTTGGCAAGGACATAGGAGCCCCATGATCCTCTATTGCCCGGGGGCCCCATGAGTTGTCAGTCCGCCCCTGATTTGAGTACTCCTACCAAACTCTACGTGAAACTTTTCATGTTTTGATAATGTGAACAGCACTGTGTCCTGTCCAGAGTATTAATTGCAGACTGCTTTACTAGGACTTTGAGGAGAGTTAAAAACTAGCCCCAAACTTCTGCTTTCAGTGCCAGTGTAAACGGGGCCTAAGGGACATCGCTTTTCCATCTTCAAAAAGTTTATTTTTTAAAGTGGAACTTTAGTCAAAAAAGTTCTGCTAGTTCACTTCAGCTGTCCGCTTTTGCAGGTATAGCTATGTAAAACATTAAAAATAAGTGCCTATACTGTTTAAAATTCAGTAATACACTGTCTCACCCTGCTCTGCTCATGCTCAGTTGCTCTCTATTTTTTGTCACTGTGCCAAAAATGTAGAGGTCAGTCTGCTGACAGCCAAAAGATTTACTGCTGCTCAGGGGCTCTGGGCTTCAGCAAAATGGCAGCTTCCAGCAAGAAGAAACAGGAACAATGCTTTGGGCATTTTCTAGCACACATTAATTTTGGTAGCATAAATATTCATGTGGAATGTTTGCTCCTTGTTAAAATGACACTAAACTCTGGTTTAAAGGAAAATTCTATTCAAGTATACTTAACTAAAACTAAACTAAAAAGTACCCTCTATTGCTCTCAGCCTCCTCCAAATTCCTTATTTTTTTCTAATTTTCTGCTGTGATCTGAATTCCTGTTAAAGGGTGGCTATGTTCATTCTCTACAGTCTCACTGTATGTAGGATTGTAGCCACCCTCTTTTGCTTGCCCAAGATGGATTATTGACTATGAGATTTGTAGTGTGCAAAGAATAGTGCGCATGACTACAACTAACGTGCTTTGCTCATTCCAAACAAACAGAAGTGATGGAGAAATGTCGAGGTTTGGGCGCTCACAGTGGACATTGTAAGGAGGCAGAAAAACAGAGTAAGAAACCTTTTCATGAAAAATAGAATAAACGGCCATTAAGTGTTGGATGTGTAAGAATATTGTTTATTGCCACTTTAGTCCTGGGGATGTCAACTGATGGCATGTCAGGAAGAGGCATGGCTATGGTGGTACTGATACCTGCGATGAGTTGCCAAGTTGCCAATTCATCCTTTAATTCCTGACACATTAATTAAACACATTCTGTACCCAATTAAATCTAGATAAGATACTGACTAAATCAAATTAGATACATAATTTGTAGAGTATATGTTTATAATTATTAAAGAGATGAGTTGGCAAAACTCTCTGCAGTAACAAGGGAAGCTGACATATACTTTAATTGCTTGTGTACTAAAAGTGTACTAAATGAGCTCTGCAAGGTTGCAATCATGCCTCAGATAATACTTAAGGGCCATGTCATAGTGGCAATCCTGTTGCTGGGAACAACTTGCCAACAACAGTATCACTAAAGAGAGCACTAACCTGCTAGAGGATTTGTAGGCATGTGCAGTCTATTTTCTCAACTACAGTGGCAATGCAGAGGGAGAGGAAGTCAAGAGGAGCCTAGTTCCTTTATGGTTTCCTGGGTCACAGGGGGTAGCTATCCAATGCTGCACCCCATTTGACTTTGGTGGCCACTTGGGTCAGGCAGTCTTTAAGACCTTCCCGGGTGGTGCCAGTTTCAGGGAAACATTTGGGTCAGGTACAGAACAGAGTCTACTTAAGACCCTAGCTATCAGTTTTCCTGAAGCGAGTTGCCTTCTCATTGGGCTTGTTGTGTACCCGCGTTTCCAAATGGTCAGTCCGCCCCTGGGCCAACAACTGCTTTTGCGAACTTAATACACATGGGCGGGCTATTTGCCTTGCTAGCTGTGTGTGATGCTGTGGATGTGGGCCTGTACCAAATCAAATGATAAAATTAAAACAAAAAAAAAGAAGCTCTCACTTTGCTCCATTCACACTTTTTGGCGGTGACATGTAAGTTTTTCAAGCGATTCCTCATGTCGCGCATAGGGCAGCCTTTTCACTTAACGGGTTGCCCTATGTGTGTTTGGAAGCTCCTGATCCTTTTTGGGTGACAAATTTCACATGATTTTTAAAGGAGCGTTTTGCCATGCAACTTTGCATCGTGTTTGGGGTTCCATTTAGAATGCATGCCACACATTTTTCAGCAATTGCCACATGTTTTGGAACCATAGGCAGAATCGCAAAGATTGTGCCTGTGATTCCAAATCGCCAGGCATTATATTACTTGTCCCTGCAGCCATTCCTGTTGTAAGCAAAGCGTTCCAAAGGATTTCCACATTTCACACAGTTCTGGGTAAGTTGGATGTCTGTGTCACCATGCTCTGTGGTTCTTTTACAAGAGCTTTTTGTTTTTATTCATTATTTTAATGAAAGAGGTGCTTTGAAGTGTAAGTGGAATTGAGATCGCAACATGTACATGTGGGAGGAGTTTTACAGTGAAGATTTTCAAAAAGTGGTCAGGGAGTGCAAAACAAGTCACAAAGTGAATATGTTGGCAGAGTGGAGAAAGGTAAGTATTGTTGTCTGTTGGGGATGGATATCAAAGCCCACTACGGCTGCTTTCACACTGATCCGTTTTTCTTCCATTTTTGCCTTACCAAAAGTGGAAAAAAAATTCATGACATTAAATCCTATGAAGCTCTTCACACCAGTCAGTTGTGGGTCAGTTGCGTTTTTAAAAGTCCTACTTGCTGCAATTTTGGAGTCAAACGTCCTTTTTCCACAGGTGCAAAACGCACTAGAATGCAGCAAAAAATCAGGAACAAAATATGTGTTTTTGCCGTGTTTTTGCAACAGAGCAGTGTGAAAGCAGCTTATATGTAAGAGCTTGCAGATTAAATAAACCGTGTCCACAACCTGTGTCTTGTAACAGATGATATTCTCCAACTCACATGGCATATCCAGTTTATCACAGGGCAGTGCCACTAACCTAATAACGAAGGTAAGCTGTCATGGACGTAGTATGCAACACTTTAGTTAAGTAGTGGCTGTTACCACATACTGATTACAGAGATGTTTTGATTCTTGTCTGTACACCTTATATTCACCTGCCATGAAGATTCTGAGGATGCCTGTGCACTGATACCACTTAGTTTATGCTCCAATTAGGACACACCTTTGCTGACAGCTCCGTTTCATGCTTTTGATGATATTTTGTTTACAAGAGTCAGCTGTTTCTCCCTATCCCTTTTGTAATTATCACTTTTATAATGTGCTTTAAAAGCTATACAAAGATCTGCACGTGTATTCCAAGAAAAGTCATACACACATACACTATATTGCCAAACGTTTTGGGACAATATCATTGGAATCAGGTGTTTCAATCACCTCCATGGCCACAGTTGTATAAAATCAAGCACCTAGGCATGCATACTGCTTCTACAAACATTTGTGAAAGAATGGGTCACTCTCAGGAGCTCAGTGAGTTCAAGTGTGGTACCGTGATGGGTTGTCACCTGTGCAATAAGTCCATCAGTGACATTACCTTGCTACTTAATTACCTTGCCACGGTCAACTGTTCATGGTATTATAACAAAGTGGAAACAACTGGAACAGCAGCAACTCAGCCACGAAGTGGTAGGCCACATAAAATGACAGAGCGGGGTCAGCGTATGCTGAAGCGTACAGCACGCAGAAGTCGCCAACTGTCTGCAGAGTCAATAGCTAAAGACATCCAAACTTCTTGTGGCCTTTAGATGAGTACAACAGTGCATAGAGAGCTTCATGGAATGGGTTTCCATGGCTGAGCTGCTGCATCCAAGCCTTACATCACCAAGTGCAATGCAAAGCGTTGTATGCAGTGGTGTTAGGCACGCTGCCACTGGACTCTAGAGCAGTGGAAACATGTTCTCTGGAGTGACGATTCACACTTCTCTGTCTGGCAATCCGATGGACGTGTCTGGGTTTGGCAGTTGCCAGGAGAACAGTACTTGCCTGACTGCATTGTGCCCAAGCGTAAAGTTTGGTGGATGGGGGATTATGTTGCGGGGTTGTTTTTCAGGGTTTGGCTTGGCCCCTTCGTTCCAGTGAAGAGAACTCTTAAGGTGTCAGCATACCAAGACATTTTTGACAATTTTATGCTCCCAACTTTGTTGGAATAGTTTGAGGATGGCCCCTTCCTGTTCCAACAAGACTGCGTACCAATGCACAAAGTAAGGTCCATAAAGACATGGATGAGAGAGTTTGGGGTGGAGGAACTTGACTGACCTGCACAGAGTCCTGACCTCAACCCGACAGAACACCTTTGAGATAAATTAGAATGGAGACTACGAGCCAGGCCTTCTCCAATATCAGTGCCTGACCTCACAAATGCACTTCTGGAAGAATGGTCAAACATTCCCATAGACACACTCCTAAACAGGGGCGGACTGACCATTTAGCCACTCAGGCACTGCCTGAGGGCCTGGGGTCAGTAAGGGGCCCCATGAGATGCCCCTGGTACCTTTCATAGGCTTTTTTGGGTGTGGTTTGAGGTTGGGGGTAGGACACAGGGGCCCCATGATTTCCTATTGCCCAGGGGCCCTATGAGTTGTCAGTCCGCTCCTGGCCATGACACAACACTCTAAACTGATAGCATACTCAGATTGCAGGGCGCATGTGCCGGTCATGTCACTGGCTGCTTCCTGTGTAAATATTTCCTAAACACCGCATGTTTAGGAGATATTCACCTTATTATTAGCTTGCCTCTAGAAACAAGTTCAAAAGTGAAGTTTACTACTGCTTTAATACGTCTTATATTCTTCTTTTATTCTCTTGCTCCTTGGCCTATGAGCTTCATTATGGTAAATACAGCCCTGCGTATGTATGCACATTAGGATAAATACCTGATATGGAAAAGCATGTGACTCTCCTATGTGACAGTACTTGGCCAATCAGTGATTAAACTTGAACAGCGTTTCATGTCAGCGACAACCTCGCCAGCTACAATCACTCTGCATTCATATTCATGGCTTAGAAGAACATACAATGACTATACCTAATAAATCATTATCTAAACGTCACTGTTCATTGCTGGTGTTCCCGAGTTGTAGCAGTAAGGATTCACTGCTAGAAAAAATATATATCATCCAGCCGACATAGCTTATAGGGCCACCAACAATCTGTTTCTAGCAGTAAAATCAGAATCTCTCAACAGGCTGCAATTGTCAGATGATGAAGCATGTCAGATGTAGTCTGTGTGCAGAAATCCTAAACAGGTTGATGATATGCTTTTGTTGAGTGGATGACCCACTAAAACCCAACCCTGTCCAGGCCGTCTCTTATTTCATAATATGACTGTTGACAGCTGATCTTGGCATTTACTACCTGTGCCAATTTGAGTCATGCAAAGAGTAAGTTGCATAACTATTGCAAACACAGGGATGTCATTACACAATTTCCATCCTACTCCAAACATTTTCATTAAATTGGGCTATTTTTAAGTCTCTTTCAGATGAGCGGTTTTACCACCACTCTGGCTGCCCACTTGACCTGTAAAATAACAGTCGGACGGGACTGTACACCTGACAAAATTGCAGCATATTTATCTCAGGGTGCAGAGTTTGACAGGTGTCACTCGCCCATTTAGTTCAATGGGGTAGTGCCTGCAACTGCGTACAATGCACATGGTTGAGGCGAGATAGTGCAGCATTATAGGGTTAAATCAGGCAGTGAGGAGGCAATATAATGCTTCCTCACTGCTTGTCAAATGCCCTCTGAAAAGCGATCTGAATGCATATTGCTCTTTAGAGGGCACCACAACACTTCACCATACATGTAAAAGAGCACTTACACAGACTTTTTATCAGTAATTTGAATTTAAAATGACACCTTTTATATAACAATCTGCCTGACTATAGTCACCCTTGGTTTCTATAGTGTCTTGCTGATTCAGTATGTGTCTGATTGAGTGTGATCTGTAAGGCCTCATGTACACTGGGTGATTAGCACCTGTCAGGGGCGTATTTACCACAAGGCAAACAAGGCATTTGCCTAGGGCAGGATTTTTCAGGGAGCAGCACTGCCACCTGGAAGAAGGAACACACATGTGAAGGTGAGTTTCTTTCTAGGGCCGGGGGGGGGGGGGGCCAGTGCATGGGGGAAGTGGTAGGAAGCCTTTCTTGAGGGGGGACATTTGTGTTGTTGGCAGGGGTGGACTGACCATTAGAGCAATCGAGCACTGCCCGAGGGCCCAGGGCTAGTAGGGGGCCCCATGAGATGCCCCTGGTACCTTTTTATAGGCTTTTTTGGGTGTGCTTTGAGTGTGGGCAAGGACACAGGGGCCCCATGATCCCCTATTGCCTGGAGGACCCATGAGTTGTCAGTCCTCCCCTGGTTGTTGGCCAATGTCAGGCTCTCTCTGCGGGGAAGGGTGGGGGGGGGATTTTTGTATTGCCTGGGGCAGCACAAAACCTAAATACGCCACTGGCCCCTGTGCTCATGTTTTCCGGTGCCCCGGAAGTCACAGGTGCAGCAGCCTTCAGCAGCCTGTCAAAATCTATGATAGGCTGAAATATGTGGCAATTGGACTCTATACTTGTGTTTAACTGCATGTCTACTACGGTACATTTATAAATGCCATGGTAGACAAACGGTTAATGCTAGGTTCACACTAAAATCTGTGCATGTTTCCCGCAATGCATTCAAAACGCCCTGCAGTTGCAATCTGCAGCGGGTGTCCTTGTTAAATTAAAGACACCCCAAACACAGGTCGCAAATGCAGTGTGTATGCCTGCACCAGATCACATAATATAAATGACCTTTTGGGTGGAACTCCGCTTTAGCCTATTCAAAATGAATGAACTCTAATCACACTGTACTGAATCGCATGTGAATCAATGAACTACGTCATTTCCAAGGTCACAGCTGCCATTTTTCATAGTGTAGATAAGGAAGCAGCTACAACTTGATCCATGTATGAATAGTTACACTGGAGGGCTGGTGAGACATTAGGGCCCTGATTTATTAAGAATTGAGTCTACCAGCAGACGCTGCACATTCAGGCAGACTCAATTCAAACAATCAAGGCCTGTCAGCCTGCAGAAAGGCGTCTAGCAAACTCATTGAAAAAAGTCTACTTTGTAGACTCTTTCCTGTTAATAAATCCGGAATCATGTCAGGCACATTTCTAGATGCAATGCCGGATATGTTCGCTAGGTGGCGCACAACTGAGGGATTTGTCCAGTTGGCGATTTTCTGTTTGCATATTAGACTACTTATAATTTAAAATAAAAAGCACACCTATATTAAAATTTTTTTTTTTTGGTTTCTGTTTCTCCAAAAATGATCAGACAACTAATGCATTTCCTATGGGCACCAGAGTAGCTAAATGGTTAGCACTTCCGCCTGGCAGTACTAGCATTGTTGGTTCAAATCCAAACCACAGCACCACCTGCCTGGAGTTTGCTGGTTCTCCCTGTGCCTGTGTGGGTTTCTTCCGGGTACTCCGGTTTCCTTCCTTCCACACTCCAAAGACATGCTGGTAGGTTAATTGGCTCCTGTCTAATTTGACCCCCTAGTATGTGTATGTATGAATGTGAGTTAGGGACCTTAGATTGTATGTCCCTTGAGGGTTAGGGACTGATGTGAATGTACAATATATATGGAAAGCACTGCGTAAATTGACAGCACTATATAAGTACCTGTAATAAATAAATACATTTCCTAATGAATGTCATACATTCTATTTTCAAATGTCAAACATTTTCACACTTATATATCTCAAATAATTGCAAAGTGAGTATCAAGATGGCCACCAATCCTCAATGGCAGCGGAGTGGCTTCAGCAATAGGGCTCCACCCAATGCGTTTCGTGTACCAACACGTCCTATTGGTGTGCCCCTGAGGACATGTTGGTACACGAAACGCATTCGGTGGAGCCCTATTGCTGATGCCACACCGCCATAATTGAGGAGCGGTGGCCATCTTGGAACTCACTTTGCTATTATTTTTATTACTCCACGTGGATATTTTTAATTGTTACTTGTGACCATTATAATAAAGTAATACACTATTAAGCACCTTTCTGGCTCCTGTGGCTGAGCTAATTTCCTCCCCAGGACCATTTTGGCACCCACCCTGATGGATGGATGAATGGAGCTGGATGACTAACCCATAGCTGCCAGCATATCGCTGCACCCCCAAATGTGTGATGTGTATAACCCATGCGCATTAATACTTTTGTTCTGGTAAGTGTACACCCGTCCCAGGGGGGATTACCTTTCACGAGTTCAAGCACTACTGTTCATCATGGATAAACCACACGTGCCATTCATAGGCACTCTCTGAGTTGGTACTCTCACACAAAGGACATTCCATTATTCAGGAATGATTATATTAACTTTTTTTAGCACCATTTACCAGTTTACATCATTATTCCACTTATTTGCACTTTTTTTTTTACATGTGTTTATGATTGATAACATGCATTTATAGCACAGCACTATTACTTTAACATATTGGTATTCTGGGACTGTTGCCAATACCTTGAGTGCTAGCTGCTACCTTCATATCTATACCTAGATTTATATTTATCTTGTGTAATACCATTTTAGTAGTCTATATAATTTTACCAGCCCTCACTTTATCATTGTTTTTAAACAATGTAACTATTCTACATTTCAGCTCAAATTCTGTCTCCTACAGTGGCTTAGTGGTTAGAATTCAGAATTTACAGCACTTGGGTTATGGGTTCTAATCCCAGTCATGGGTGCACCTGCATCCCAATTTGCATGCTTTCTCTGCATGGTGTGTTTCTGCCAACACTCCAAAGACATGCTGTTAGGGTAATTGGGCCCAGGGGTGGACTGACAACTTATGGGGCCCCAGGGGCAATAGGGGATCATGGGGCCCCT